CCTAGATACATGAAGTCGTTGCAATGATATGTGCAAAACTATGTTTAGGAGTTAAGATTTGTTTTTCCTTCCATCATGAAGGCGTTAAACTGACTTTTTTGTTTGTTTACATTCTTATTCTCTGGCTAGAAGAGAAAGATACAATATAACTTTTCCTCCATTTAGAGGGAAAAGGAGTACAGGGGCAGGTACTACAGAGTGATCACTGTGATAACAAGTAACAGGCTATCACAGTGAACATGTGAGCAGAAGCCACCCTTCACAGCTCCAAATCCTTAATACAAGACCCAGAGCTGCATGGAGCTCAGTTAACGTGTGGCGTGACGTATGTTGGTTGGAAAAAAATTATCTGTGGGGGAAGAGGGGAGGGTGGGATTGGAGTAGAATTCAGCTTGTAGCTGGAATTCATCTCCTGTACTCATGAATCTAAGATGCTGGTTGCTGCTTTGCAAAGGCTAACAGAGCCCCCCTCATGCTGAAGATCTATCTGAGGGTTTGGAGGACTTGGAAGTCCAGGATTTGCAGGTGAAATGGTAGCCAGGCTTGGACCTGGCTTTGGATGTTGATGTCTGGGATCAATGATGAGACATCTTCTTGGCATCCAAAGAGTAGCTTTCAAAAACTAAGCCTTAGGCTTCTTCTGCTAGGGCATATGAGGGTGTCCAGGGTAGCCCCAAAACAGACTTGTTCTTGGAAGGTAATGCTCAGTAAGCACTTTTTGCATTCTAGTTTAGCTAACCAGTCCACCTTGTGTGTTCACGGACAGGAGACTCATACAAGAAAATGAGACCTGTAGTTCATTGTTACACGCATGAGCTCTGAGCCCTATTTAAAAGGTCAACTTGTGTAGCAGATCTTTTCTGATGGCACTAGCCCAGTCAGCTAGAATTTCCCAGGCTAATGCCAGCCATAGATGGATCGTATCTTGGCCGGTTCAGCAGAGACCAGCCAAGATTTGCTCTAGGAGTTGTACTGAAGTTGTCCCATCAAACACCTTCAGTACAACCAGCCTGTCAGGTTTTGTACATGTGATTACTGTCGGTGGCTATAGCTGTAATAGTAATTATTGTGTTCTGCCAGCAGAGAAGGCTTCCTGCCAGCAGAACACAATAGCACTGCAGGAGAGATTCCCTCATCAACGCTGATTGTGCTGATGGAAGAATCAAGCAATTTTCTTTCCTGTAACTCATGGTTGCTGGAAAGAAAATCATCTATGGCTTGCCTATGGTATTGACAAAAACAGATTGCAATGCAAGGCCTGCAAGAGAGAACAAAGGTTTTAGAAACTGCCTCTTAAGTGCTTGTAGATGGGTTCATCCTCCACAGGGAAGGTTAAGATGGGATGCTACTGAATCCACAGGGGGGCAGGCCAATGCACATGTTAGATAGGCCAATTACATGAGGTTGAAAAAAACAAAAACAAACACAAGTCCTTCTAGTTCAACCAATAGAAAAAATAAATAAATAGAAAACCTCCATATATACAAGCCTATACCCAATGTTATCCATTTAAAATGTTTTCCTTTTACGCATTCAATTATATTCTTTTTAGCTTTTAAATAATAGTGTTACTTCATTTTCATATTTTACATGCTTTTTATTATTATATATAGCTTTTTAACTCTGGACGTAAGCCACATACGCTTTATTTTTAGCACTTCAACACTGGGCACTTTCACCCGTCCAGGCAATTTTCAGATTTCAGTGCTGTCATGCATTGAATGACAATTATTTAGTCATGCAACATTGTACCCAAATTATTATTTTTTTTATATAGAGATAGGGGGGGGGGGATTTACTAAAACTGGTGCAGTCAGAATCTGGTGCAGCTGTGCATAACAGCCAGCTTCTAACTTCAGCTTGTTCAATTAAACTTTGACAATAAAACCTGGGAACTGATAGGGATCCATGCAGAACTGCACCATGTAGTTTTAGTAAATAACGCCCATACAGCTTTCATTTGGTGGTATTTAATCACCATTGATTTTTATTTTATTTTTATACTATATAAATTTAAAAAATGCTTAACGTATGGGTTTTTTCCCAAATTTTACTGTTATAGAATTTTGCACATAAATAATCTTTCTTCATACATTCAGGCCAACATGTATTCTGCTACTTTTTTGGTAAAAATAACTCAAATCAGTGTACATTATTTAGTCTGTGTGGAAGTTGTACCATATACAAACTATGGTGTATATGTTTGAAAAAACTGATCAATCCTGATGTACTGATGGCCCATTTCTTGAGGCCCTAAAATGCTAGGACAGTACAAGTACCCCCCCCCCCCCCCCCAAAATGACCCCTTGTTGGAACGTAGAGTCAAAAAGGTATTGTAAGAGGCATGATGAGTTTTTTGAAGTTGTAACTTCTGGACACTTCTTTTGGAAAATGAAGAAAATACTTTTTTTTTTTGTACATAATGTCACCAAAACAGTATAGTGTAACCAAATGACTGGTGCGGTGGTGATCAGGGACACTGACTGGTGACAGTATGTAAACAATACATAATGTTTTAACTATTTTTCCTTTTGTTTTACATACTGTGACCAGAGCTGTACACTATCACTATAGTAATACTGTACTGCTCTCGGGAGGTGATCAGGATTTTTTTTTATTACATTATGATTGCTGTTAACACTGATGATCACTGTTATAAGCAATAATTTTTATGAATGGCATCCATTCATTCACCAATTGTGTACAATTGTGATAGCTCTGGCCAATCACAGATCCCGCTGCTGTACAGCCCCTAGGGCATGCATGAGGCATGCGAATGGAAGGACGTCATATGACGTTCACCCAGGACAATGGTGCTTCTGCCCAGCCGTATTATTGTAATAGACTGGGCAGGAGGTGGTTAAACTTCTTGCTCAAGGGAATATATTTTGCAATGTGTTTGCATACAGTCAAACTGAAGCATTTCTATTACTGTGTTATTCGATAGCATTACATTCTCCCCAGTCTAAATCTTTGATGGCAACCGTCAGCTTTGGAAAATTTGCTCTGTTAAAATGTTTTTTTCTTCAGTATGTGCTTGTGGTTTACAGCTTTCATTAATTTAAAACCTGTTATGGACACTACAACCCAAATGTTCTTTTATGTGAACATCAGTAATAGGTTATGCAATGTTTCGATTATCAGGTCCAGCAGATCATCATTTCTAAAACAGTGCCTTAAAATGATCTTGTAATAGGTTTATAAGCTTCTGCCTTTTTACTGTTCCAGCAGTGCCATTTCTCCAGTCTATTTCAGGGTAGGTAAAATCCCCCATTATTATCACTGCCCCAGCCCTGGAAGTCCTTTCTATCTCTGCAAGGGACGGAGTCTCCACCTCTACATTAACACAGGGTGGCCTGTAAAGAGAGAATAGCCAGAAATTTTAATCTCTTGATTGTGTGAAGACTGAAGCCAAGATTTTGCAGTACCAGTTAAATCATAGTTCCTTTCATGCACCAAAGCTTCCAATTCTCCTATTTTGCTTAGCAGACTTTTGGCATTGATGAACACTAATTAATTGTTGCATTTTTTGTACTTGAGCTTTGCATATCATTTTTGTAGTACAAATAGTATTACACTTTCCAGAGGTTTTCGTAACTAAGGAAATTCCTTATCACCTGCCATAGCCTTCCCCTATTTTCCCCCGTTCCACATTCCATTAGTGTATGACAAGTCTGTCCCATAATATTCTAATCCCCCTTTTCCCCAATCCTAGTTTTTAATACTCTTCCAACCTTCCCATAAACCTCTTCACTACCACAGCAGAAGACGTATTAATATTACTTAGGGCTTGTTCACACTTGACTAAATTTCTAACTCTTCAAAAACGCCCCTATAGCTGTAAAAATGTTACTTACAGTTTAGAAGACTATCTTAATTCCTGTTTTCAGCTCCTGTGTACAGGGCTGCTAGACATTTGGGAGCAGGTAAACAAAACAGCTGGTCAGGGTTCTTTCACTCTTTATAAAGGATGAATGTGAGCAGCTTTTGCAGCAGAAAAGTCTTATCTGTCTTGGGGATCCTAGAGGAGCCTAGACTAGGGATAGCCAGGCTGAGTGTAAAGGGGGCGCGTATTCGGCATCAACAAGAGATAAAGAGGTCTATTTAAACTTCAGAGTTATGGTGGCGACCCTTCAGAGACAGGCTCATCCATTAGGGACCTAACAGACTCCGCGTCAGACAGAGTCTCAGTGGCTGATGGCTCAGAAGCCATTAACACCACAGGCATATAAGGATTTTGCAGGGGAAGGTGTAGAAGAACAGTTATGAGGTTATAGTCAGTAACCACAGTTGCCATTTGGTCAATTTGGGAATATCTGATTGCCTCTCGATGGATCAAGAAGGAATTTTTTCCCTTGCAGGAGAAAATTGGATCATGATTTGTTGGGTTTTGTTACCTTCCTCTGGATCAATGGTGGGTATAGAATTATGTCTTTTTTTCTGGTTGAACTGGATGGACTTTTGTATTTTTTCAGCCAGACTAAGTATGTAAAATACTGCATAATTGCATAAAATCCCCCAAGGTTAGAGCCAAGGAGGTGGCTGAGCCTGACAGAGCTAAGGAAGTCTCTGAGGATGGCATAGACTCAAACACAGGGTAAAATTCAAGATCATTCCATAACTTCACTTTCTCAATCAACGTTGACCATTTTTAATTCTTAGCCTGCTTGCATTAGTAAATAGGAGAGTGTATTATATTTACTTGTTTTAAACTTTTTTTTTTTTTTCTACATTTCTTCAGTTACTTCCTGGTTTCCAGGCCTAGGCAAATGATGTTATACATCCCTGGAGTCTTCAAGAGGGGAAAAGGGGTTTTATCATCTAAATACACCCTCCTGCCTGCAAGCCTGAGCAAAGGTCATGTGGATTCCAGGAAGTATATGCTACTCGAATCATCTGTCTTTAACCTCTTCCTGTCTGGCCCATGTTGATAAACGGCCGGACGGGAATGCTGCCGAAGCATCCATTGCCTGTGCGCGATCCCTGGGAGCGCGTGGCACCTCGATCGGTGCCCGCTGTGTCCAGAGGATTGCTGTACAGGACCTCTGTGTGAGGTCCCGATTCATGTGATTACTGATTGGCCAATCAGTGATCACATGAATAGTAGTAAACAAGATGTCACTTCCTGACATCATTGTTTACTACTTGTGAAATCTGTGAATGATCACAAGGATCACACGGTACAAGGCTATTCACAACAGAGAGAAGGAGAAATGATTGCTTTTACACCCATAAAGGCTGTAAAAGCAATAAATTTCTCCTTCTCTCTGCCGTGAAGAAAAAAAAAAAGAAAAAAAATCATCACAAGCAGTACAGTGTCATTAAGGTCACACTGTAGTGCTAGGGTGACAGTATGTTAAAAAAAAACCATAAATATAAAAAAATAAAATTTGTTTTTTTTTTTTTACTAAAAAGATAGATGAATACATTTTGGCCAAGATTAATAAAGAAAGATTACGGTATTTATTTGCAAAATTTTATATAAGAAAAACACTTTTTTGCAAAATGTTTGGACTTTTTCATTTATATAGCAGTGGTGAATAAATACCACCAAAAATAAAAGTTTTATCGGTCTCAAAAAAATGCTAAAAAATTCATATGGGTACAGTGTTGCATGACCACGCAATTGTCATTCAAAGTGTGATAGCACAGAAAGCTGAAAATTGGTCTGGCCTAGAAGGGGGTGATAGTGTCCATACTTGAAGTGGTTAATCAAGATGGCTACAGTCAGAATGTTAGGGGATGTTTCTCAAAGGGTTTTTTCAGCAAAATAAAGCATGGAGACATGGATGGATGGGTGAGTTTGCTTTGAATATTAAAAATGAATGAAATAGCATTTTTGGTTTGTGTGCTTCGATGCAGTGCTTTAAAAGGTCTGTTTAAAAAAAAAAATGCACATTTATAAAGCACGGCAGAGTGCTTTACAAACCTGCACGGCATTCTACTGGGCTTTGAGAGTCTAAAACCAGGTAAAATGTATGAAATAAAAATGAATGGGAGGGAAAAAAATGGGACAAGAGCCATGACCTGTCAAAGAAATATGACCAACTCTTTTAAAGTCACTATGAGTTCTCAATGAGGCCCCGTCGAATCCTCTTGACGGCTCACATTTTGTGTGTGTGTAATACTAGAGTATAACGGGTAATAGATCCACTCTGCATTATAAATGAACTTTATTTTGTTATTGTTCCACACAATGAAAGTGTGAAAAAATATGGGATATTATGTGTAACGTGAGGTTAACTACAAATAACTGAAAACAATGTTAATTTTATTCTTTTCTTAGAGAATAGTGTCGGTAAGAAGCAATTCAATGACACACAAGCTAGCAATGAAGAACTATAAAACTGTAGCTAGAGTCTCCTTAAAGATAAACAAGCATGTTAGCTGGATCACATTATTTTTTGTTGGACCAAAATGCCATTCGGTTATTAATTGGGGTCTTCATGAAGCGTGGTGATTTCATGTATGCAGCAATAGCTGGCAGAGCCTGCAAAAAACAATATAAGTTGTATCATAATATTGAGTGTATCCATACAAAAATACAAATTAACTAATACTCCTTTAATGCATGAACAAAAATGTTTCAAGTGCTTTAGCCAGCCAGTTCCTGAGATTAGTGCACAGTAACTCATTTACATGATTCTAGACTAGTCCTTAACCACATGCCCTTCGGAAGGTTAAACCAATTTGATGTGGATTTCAGGACACTTGTGTGCTGTGGGTAATTTTCCTGGTAAAATGCGGTGGAGCCATTTCCAGAGCTGCAGTAGTGTGAACCAGCCGTTAGTTATGTACAGTATGTGGATGCAAATGATGCAGGAAGGTTATGAATTGAACTGCAGCACCAACCAAAACGCTTTCTAGTTTTATTCAGTTTAGGGAAGGTTTAGAACTTTAGGCTTTTTATTACTGTCCGATGGGGTAATTTCTGGCACCATAACAGATAAAGTTTAGATTTCTCCTTTCTTTCTGACAGAAGTGAGGAAAACCTATCCCCAAGGGGGCACAATAGAGGACAATAAAAACCTTGTTTAACATTATTCCCACAGAAACCTTTGTTGATTTCTACTAAGTCATTTTAAAAGGTAGAACTTTTAATACCTAAAACTGAATGGTGAGATCCTGCAGATTTCATAACAAACATAAAAGAGACTGGTAACTTCAGATCTGATTTCCTTCAGTAATGATTTCAGCTCTGGTGGTTTTGCTCACATTTTGATCAATTTTTCTGGTTCCAGGAACTAAGCATTCGTGATCACCCAAAGATGCCAGTGATGTACCACAAACTGGAGGCCAATGAGTGGTCCAGCTAACACAAGACTGGAAAATCCAGTGAATACAGATCAGTCTCACCTCAAACCGAGATAGGAAGTCCTGCAAGTTAGAAAAGTTTTGCAGGCAGGTTGGATCCAACATCCTGTTTTGATCTAGTACATCATACATCACAAAGTCCACATATGTGATCTTGGGAGAAAAAATAAATTTACTCACTTAAACAATTGTCAATTTGAAAAAGCATAAATGTTGGTGTTCTATTAACTATTTAAAATTAAAATACTGCAGAACATTTACCTTGTCCCCAGCAAACCAATGTCGGTCTCCTAGAAAGTGAGAGAATCTTCCCAGTGCAACTGGTAGCTTTTCAAGGTATGGGCCTTTCAGGTCTTCCTGAAACAGTGAATAAATTCAAATTTAAATAGATGTGTCTGTAACAATTAACAGTCAGACCAGCCACGTCACTAAGCTGCATGAGTTATTTTGGTATTTTATCTCATGATAAAATTATCACAATTTTGCTCCTAAATGTTGCACAGTTTTTGTAGCACTTTTTTCATATGATTTAGTTATTTGACCACTAACAGGCTATCATTTCTTATAAACTGGTACTTTATCTCATGGAGTGCTATCTATATCTATCTTGAACAGTTCATTTTCCTGCTCTGCACTATAGATATAATCACTTAAACACCAAAAAATAATTAAAGTGTATGTAATCCCTAAATGACATTGCGTTTGCTAAAGCTTGCACTGTTAAACAATTGCTACTGTTTTTAAATAAAAATTGGATTTTTTACTTAAAATCCATTTCTTGGAGTACATCACGGCCACAGAGAAGCTTCAGTAAGGGTCCATTCACGCCAGATGTGGTGAAACTGCGCAGAGTGGTTATTCCAGTGCAGTCCCACTTAATGACAAGGCAAAATATCCCACCTGCATTGTAATGATGATGTGCGGGACCAGTGCACTGCAAGAGTACTGCATGCACTACTTTTTTTCAGCGAACCGCGCGGCAGCCAACTGAACTTAATGTCTGTGTGACATTTCAATAAAGTCGTTTTAAAAAACAAAAAAAAAACCACAGTACAGAGCGGTGATACCCGCTGGATTTCCCTATCTGACAGGGGTATCTGGGACCCACCCAACCTCCCCCCCTTCCCTGTGTTCCTTCATTTCTGCCATTTGTAAGTCCTATGGCCTGCTGACTCACTGGTATATTTATCCCATACCGCTGGGAGGGCACTTTGTGACTAAACAAGAGTGTTGGTTATCCTGGGAGAACCTTCTCTAACTCTACTAGTGTCACCAGTCCCCCCCCCCCCCCAACCAGAAGTGCTTACGTGGCCCTAGAAGGAAGCTAATTGCTGCACTCGAGCGATGCAGAGTTTAAAATAGTGCAGATGTAGAAAAGATACAGCCTTTCAGGTGTTTTGAAAAAGCCATTGGTAGACTATTGAAAACCTGTAAAACAGGGTGAAAATGCAGGACCACAAATATAAGAAGGGGACAGTGTTTTCACTCTATAATAAAATGCCTGACCAAGGACATTAAAAATGGAAAAATCTCCAAGAATTATTGATTAAATTACAGATGGAGATTTAAAACACTAAAATGGCTTTTGAAGAATACATTAACATGATAAAGCTTATTAGAGATTTTTGGGGTTGGAATTTAAATATATTTCAAGTAATATTTAAAGGATTGATAACTTGTGCGATCATTTTTGGAAATTTACTGTTACATGCAAAACACCACAAATAGATATTTTAATGTGTGTTTGGTAAATTAAGTTAAAAACTTTGCAATCAAACATTTAGTATTCTGAAGATGTCATTTTTGGAAAAACAAATGAAAAATATCACATTCATTGTGCTTTCTTGATTTGACCTCAAAGGCTTTAGCACTGTTCTCAGATAAACCTTGTCATTGCAGTTACTTAATAAATATAGACTGGCTTTATTGCTGATGAGCTTTAGCAGTGTCCTCAGATAAACCTTACAGTTTCAGGTACTGTATAGGATGAGTAAGTCTGAGCAAAACACTGTCTTTTCTTTTTCAACTTTAATATGCTTGTTCAACAAATAAATACAGTTTAGGAAGGACATATATTATGTACATGTAGGGTGGACTGAATGCACCGGTATCTTTATTTATCTTTATCAACTATGTAACTAGCTGTAGCAACCAAGCCGTTAGTTTGCAAAATCAGTTTGCAAAAATTTGGGTAATTTCAGATAGGTTGCTATGAACGTTTGCATTTTGCACATCACCATTGTTGTTTGCCCTATAAATCAGGCCTGTAGAAAATGTCTTAGATTAGTAATATTCTCCAATTAAGTGATTAGCATAATCCAATCCAAATGACTGGAACATGTCTGTTCCTTACTATGCATGTAGGGAGCTGCATGTGGATTTAATATTAGAATTATAGTGTGTATTTGAATATGGCCAAAATTGTTATGTGTCCCCTATACACAAGTAATTTAGCTGAACATTTTCCTGCATACAGTATTTCACCTACAAATTGTGAGTTGTAGGTAATAGCCACAAGTCCCATTCGGAAATCCATTGCATGGTTTTCAATCAGTGATACATTGTTCTTTTCACTTTCTGATTCTCCAGCTGCAAGACAGTGATAGCACAAAAACAGTTCTTTATCAAAAGTAGGTTCATGTATTAATTCACATACAGTAGGTTCACTTATTAATTGATAGCATGTTATAAGCAACTGCACTTTGCACATTAAGCTCTTTACACAGCTATATTTAACCTCTTAGATTGTAAACTCCAAGCAGAAGGGCCCCCTAACCCTCTTGTATTGAACTGTATCATTGCTGTATTGTCTCCCTTCATATTGTAAAGCACTGAGCAAACTTGGTGCTATATAAATCCTGAATTATAGCCTTTAGAATGGTTGCTTAGGCTCTACAGTGTATTGGCTGGAAAGGAACTGTAGAGTGATGATGTCTCCAGGGTGACTCTACTGTTCTGTCTCTATGATCCATGTCCAAACAGGGATTTTAACTTACCAATAAATTCTGTTTCTTTGAGCACAATAAGGGAACAGGATCTTCAGTCTAATGTGGTTACATGCAGTTACCTTCAGGTGATTAACCACTGGCCAAAAAAAAAATAAAAAATAGAAAGATGCAGGGACAATCTCTAGATAACAGCTCCCTCTCCCAGCTAGCCTTTGTTTTTGTAGCAAGCAATATCTATATCTTAAAAACAGAAGGGATCCAGCTGTGTTCTGTAAGTTAAAATTCCCACTCTCTTTGTTGTACACAGTACACAGTACACAGCGTCTTTAGGCTTTACCATGGGACACCCAAAGCAGTACAATTGAGGGGTGGGCAACAAAACAAACAGTAACAAGGGCTCAAGAAGGCCATAAAAGAACCTAGAGAGCAGTCTGAAGCATGGCATGCACAGATTTGGCATCAAAAGAGGCCTGTACATCCACCTGGTGAAACTTAAACAAAACACCAGGGGGCAGCCTTGAAAATCTGAGACACAGATGCCTGATACAGAAAAGCCCATTAAGCACGCACAGGTCTGGTAGAGTTGTGTCTTAACAGGGAAGGAACTCTATGCTTCAGGCCAAAAGATTTAAACCACCTAGTAATAGTGGTGCAAGAAGCAGAGAGCCCCCTGCCGCAACCCTTTAGGACAGGCATCACTAAATGAACCCAGAGTGTCAGGTCTGTCCACACCATTCAGTTGCCTGTGTCTCCTCTTTTCCCATGCCCTCTGTCCAAACCAGTCAGCACTACCGTCCTCTGCCCCGCTGGGAAGCTGACAATGTCATCTTCACAACAGGGCAGAATACAGGAGTGCTAGCTGGTCTGGACAGAGGGAGAAGCCTGACTTTTCAAGTTAACTAGCGGTGATTGGTTGCTATGAGGCAGGGCAGTTTTAGCAAGCAATCACCCACTAGTATTCAGGAAAAAAAAAAGTTGGAAAGCTCCCACCCTCTACTCAGACCATTGCACCTCCTGCCCTGCTGTGTAGGTAGGACTGGGTGCAATGTAAACAGAGGGCTGTAATCTATAGGAGGGCACTGTAATGTAAAAGGATAAAGCATTATAAAGGAGGACGACACTAATGTAAAGTGTTAGCTTGATATGTAAAAGGGGAACTGCATTGTAAAGAGTGGCACTGCAATGTATATTGAGGGACTGTGAAGGGTACATTGTGATGTACAGATTATAAAGGGACTGTAATGTAAAGGGGTACACTGTGATGTACAATATATGGAGGTACTGTGATGTAAAGGTGTACGCTGTGATGTACAGTATATGTAAAAGGGATGTGATGTAAAAGGGAACACTATGATGTAAACAGGGTGTATGATGCAAAGGGTGTATGATGTGGAGGGGTGGCTGTAATGTAAAGGGGGGACTGTGGGGGGCATTGATGTGAAGGAGAGGACTGATGACCCCAAAATAAAGAGGGGACTGTGATGTGAAGGATTTGAGTCACAGAACAAACATGAGATTCGTACCTTTGCTGGAAGTAGATGTTACTGATATGGCCTCTGTGAATTTTAATTCATTACCCCTGTTCTAGGAGAACAAAGAGGGAATCTGATTGTTTAACTCCTTCCTGCCCCCTGTACTCATATGTGGCCTCTCGGCAGTGAGGCTGCCTTTTTTTTCCCCCTAAGAAAAACAAAACTGCCAAGAGCATGCACCGTGCACACTCCCAGCACAATTACTTGCAACTAACAGAAAGCTCCCAATCTCTACTTGCAATCGGGAACTTTCCAATCATGTGACTCCTGTGACATCCACAGCGGTCACATGATCCCAGCATCTAAAACCCCTTAAGGGGCCGGGAGGATCCAGCTCCAAGGGGTTTAAAATAGACTGTAGTTGAAAGATTCTTGAGAGGTTTTGGAGCAGGAGATAAGGGAGGGAACAACAAATGTCCTCTTTGGTGGAAGGAAGAGACCACCTTAGGGAGGAAAGATGTTCTAGACCTCCAGACTGCCTTGTCCTTGTGCAACACTATAAAAAGCTTTTTACAGTATAAGGCTGCTAACTCAGAAACCCTGAGAAAAGGTGATAGCAATGAGAGAAGCCACCTTGTGGGTAAGGTCAGATAAAAGAATATTCCTAACTGTTTGAAGGGTGGCTTCTGAAGAACCAAAAGATTTAGGTCAATGTACCATGGAACACGCCGCCAAAAATGTAAATCAAGGTTACTAAACAGTTTGACGCATATTAAAGTGCAAGAGATAGATAAACACCAGATAATTCAATTTTGTATCAGTAAGTCCCATTCAAATAGTTGCTTGAAAACCAAAAGATAGGTGAACAGGTGCTGGCACCATTAGTAACAGGTGACCATTTCCAGGTGCTCCAGGTGACCTTACATGTATTTGCTCCCACCACAATGAATGGACCTTCTATTACAAGATATGTCTTACTGCGCTTTTTTGGTTGGATCCACTGTGTATCTTGACACCAACTTGACCATTCATATGTAACAGGATGCGATTTATTCCAATGCAATACACCACCACTCAAAAAACAGTATCAGGGAAAAGGTTCATTGCGCAAAGCAGCCAACTTTATAAAACCATATAAAACCTTACAATTAGACCACACTCACATGTATATATGCCTAATGACTGGCACCAGGTACATACAGCGCTTATGGTTAAGATGGCTGCCACCCTCTGAGACCAGAAGCTGGCTTGCACTCCAGGAATGGGATGTGGCATATCGGCTAGGGAACACTGCTTCAACTAGTTTTGTCTGTAATTGAACAACCTTCTAGTAATAGAAGGTCCATCCACTGTGGTGAGTGCAAATCCATGTGGGGTCACCTGGAGCACCTAGAAGTATTACTAGAAAGGGCCTGTAGCACTGGCGGGAGCACGAGAAGAGGATCGGGGCTGCTCTGTGCAAAACCATTGCACAGAGCAGGCAAGTATGACATGTTTTTTATTTAAAAAGCCCAAAAAAAAAAAAACAAATCAGGAAATTTTACAATCACTTTAATAAAAGGGATGCGAGGACAACGGCTGAAAGAGAATAAACAACTGGAGGAAGGACAAGATGTATTCAGTGGAGCATGAATTCACACCTGGGATGTGAATGACAGAGGGTTAGAACATGTAGTTATGGCCAGGAGATCATCGAAGTTCTCTCATTTGCATGGCAAATCTTCTGGTGCCTTCTTAATAGTTGATGTAGACCATGGTTGTGCCATGGTTGTGGAGTTTCGTTGGGTGCCCCCACTATTGTTGAGGGACCCAGTGTTAAAGGGGCAACCAAATCACCTTCAGTTCTAGGATGCTGATGAGAAGAAGATTTTTTCCCAGTGACAAAATCCCCTATACCAAGAAGCCAACGTTGTATTGCAACAGTCTGGAATGAAACCGACCATACAGTACAGCCTCAAAAGCAGGCACCCATTAAACTCAAGACCCCCATGCAAGCACAGAGCAAAGGTCTCCTCTGGGCTCTGAGGGTGTGGGTATGAGATGGGCAGATGTTTGTCCCAGGGCAGGAAGATCCTGGGCAGAGCCATGTCAAACATCAGGTGCAAGTACTCAAATCTTTAGAGACAATTCCACTGATTACTTCCACGGACTGAGGATCCAATTGAAGCTCTGCAGAGTCTGCACTGTCCACTAGTTGACAGGGATAGGAGGGACTGATCCTTCTGCAGGAGATAACCCTACCATGTAAATCCTTTGGTCATGGAGCAGAGCTAGGACTGGGGCAAGCGCCTTGGTAAAAAACAGGGGAACTATGAATAGGCCAAAAGAAAGGGTGATAAATTAGTAATGTTGATTGCCCACAAAACACGCATAGAGTTGGAGTAGAGAAATGATGGGAATTTGCAAGTAAGCATCCTGAATGTCTACTGAAGTCATATGGTTTCCAAGAAGGAGGAACCTCTGAACCCAAAAAGGAGAGTTAGGCATTTTGAGATCCAGAATGTGCCAGACTCCTTCTATTGGTTTGGGAACCGTAAACAGTTTCAAGTAGAAGCTTTGAAAGCATTCCTCTTCTGGTACAGGAATGACCTAATGAGACAGAAGCTGGTGAACAGAAACAATAAAATTTGGTTATTTGCCTGTCCTAGCAGAGAGAAAGAAACAAGTTTTGTTGCGGGTAGGAGGCAGATTTTGAAACTCATTTGTAGCCCATGGAAATTATACTATGAACCTGGACATTTGAGGTGTCCTGTAACCAAAAGGCCAAATTGACATCTCCCAGGAAGGGACAGACCACCATTGGGAACAGGGGTTGGAACCAGACTTAGCTGGTACTGAGGGTAACATCTTTCTATGAAAGAACATTTCTGGCTTAGATTTGAAACTGGAGGTCAGAGAGATGAAAGGAATCTTTTCTAACTTCAGAAGCAGTATTTCTATTTGTAGAAGCACAAGCCTCAAATTTCTGGAGGAGGAAGTTACTTTACCTCCTGTGAACTCCTTAAAAGGGGCAGTAAAGAGGCCAAAAAAAAAAAAAAATTTTATATATATATATATATATATATATATATATATATATAATAAAATATAATATATCAGTCCCCTGCAGGTTTATGCCATAATGTGTATCCACTCCATACTACCATGTTATGATATACTTCCCTTTCAA